CAGCATCGCAGCACGGCTACAGCATGCCGCACGGTTTCCCCGTCACAGCCCGGCCGCAGCGTCTCAGCTCACCCACGGGGCCCCCGGCATCTCAACAGCACGGCCACAGCATAGCGCAGCATCACAGCACAGCCAAGCATAGCGCGCATCACAGCACGGCCCCGATAGAGACAGTACAGCACGGCCACAGCATCACAGCAGCCCAATCAGCAGTAGAGGCTTGGTCAGTTGCTCGAGGTGAGGTGGGCCTTCAGGTCATCAACACAGTTTGGGCACCCCTCCCTGGCAACTGCGGGTAACTGGCGGTCCGAGGTATGGTCAAGAGGCTGGGTGACCAGACGCACCCACTACAGGATGACGACCAGGGGAGCAATACATCTATGGGGCACATCAGTGGGTGATGGGCACATCAGGTGGATAAAAATCATGGCATTCTTCAGTGGGTGACAGTTGTGGGGGGTTTCCAAGGGGGGCTGGTGGGGACTTTCTTCCTCTGTAAAAATTCAATTTGGCCCGTATTGTTCCCCCAAAAATTCCACCCCAAATCTGATTTCTCACCCTTTATTCAAACCAAAACCAACTCCACCAAATTAATAAAACAACCAAGCAATTATTCGACCCCCTGTCAAGAAAAGGGCGTTTAAAGGCACTAGGATTATAATTCATTATAATAAAACCAAAAACAAATGGTAGCATAAGTATAAACGAGCAGTCAAAAATAAGGCACATGGGACTTTCCTACTATAAAAATAATAAAAACCACCCCCGCTTAACCCATGTCTGTGGGGGGGGAATGTTTGGGGGGTAGGGGGTAAGCGGTGGGAGTTTGTGGTAGGTGACAGGCGTAGGCAGTTTTGGGGGGGGTGAGTGCGAGGTAGGTAGGTAATGTGCTGGGGGTGAGTGTGGAGGCGTAAGGTAATGGAGGTATGGTGACACACCTTCACCCTCTCTTTCTCTACCCCCACATCTCACCCCCTCATACTTTAACTAAACTAAATAATGGAAGAAGAATAAATAAAAAGGGGCAGTGAATATTTATTTACTCAAAAACGTTTTTTATTAAGTCCTTGTACAATAAAATATTTGGGGAAAAGGGGTAGATCTTGTTTAGAAAAATAGGATGGGTGTATAAGAGTGAGACAGGGAACACAATCAATTGACAAAAATGAATAAAAACTTACAATAGTACAGAAGCAGTTAACTACAGGAACTAAGCACAGGTCCCCCAAAACCTACACAGCCGGGACTGCTCCCGCCGTACTCTGCCCAATGTTCCAAAAGTTCCCCCAGAGACTTTAGCGCCTTCTCCCCGGCCCCGCCCCCAGCAGCAGCTCCGCTCGATCCTTTTCATGCTCTTCCCTTGGGGTTTTTTGGTGGTCCCAAACACCCCCACAACCCGTGTACGACCTGACGCCTAGGGTCTGAGCCGTCAAAAACAAAAAAACCCCAGACGTGGGGTGGCACAGACGTTTGCCCAAAGGGAAGGTGGGGCCCCCATAATTGGTTAATTGGTCTCCCCGAGACCCAAGCCCGTGAATACATCACAAAAGGTAGGAGGTTGGTAGTCAGCAACCACCCCGGGAGGTACTACCGTCCCGCCAAGTGAGTGTAAAACGAAAGCCTGTAATTGTTTTACATGATGGTAGGATTGCTGGTGTCTTTTGTCTGTCTCATACCTGTAATCTTGCATATTTATGAGACACACAAAAGACACCAGCAATCCTACCATCATGTAAAACAATTACAGGCTTTCGTTTTACACTCACTTGGCAGGACGGTAGTACCTCCCTGGGTGGTTGCTGTCTACCAACCTCCTACCTGTTACTATTACTACCTATTACAGGTACAGACTCTTAAATCTTGGTGCCTTGAATCTAGAAATCTCTCAGAACCAGACATTTAAAAAAAAAATTATTTGAAATTGAATGTCAAAGTGGTGCTGTACTTAGCAAGTGGCATCAGTTTGCACTTTTGCCCTGCTTAAACTGAACTAAATGAAATGAAATCCAGAAGCAATTTTTGCACCAAATTGTGCACTAGTTGGGCAGAGCCAACCCCAGATGCTCTCTGATCATCTGTTGGGTTTGTAGGATCAAACCTTAAGTGTTAATCTATACTTTTTTCATTTAGAGAGGATAGAACAAATATGGATGATGTATAACCCCTTTCCTAGGGGTTGCCCTAGGAAAGGTTAAAGGGAGAAAGTAAAGGAGGTTTTGTGTGAAAGGGGCTTGGACATCCAGCAGGTGTGTTTACCTGGAGTTTACCTGGAGAGAGTTCCGGGGGTTAACGCCCCCGCGGCCCGGTCTGTGACCAGGCCTCCTGGTGGATCAGAGCCTGATCAACCAGGCTGTTACTGCTGGCTGCACGCAAACCAACGTACGAGCCACAGCCCGGCTGATCAGGAACCGACTTTAGGTGCTTGTCCAGTGCCAGCTTGAAGACTGCCAGGGGTCTGTTGGTAATCCCCCTTATGTATGCTGGGAGGCAGTTGAACAGTCTCGGGCCCCTGACACTTATTGTATGGTCTCTTAACGTGCTAGTGACACCCCTGCTTTTCATTGGGGGGATGTTGCATCGTCTACCAAGTCTTTTGCTTTCGTAGTGAGTGATTTTCGTGTGCAAGTTCGGTACTAGTCCCTCTAGGATTTTCCAGGTGTATATAATCATGTATCTCTCCCGCCTGCGTTCCAGGGAATACAGGTTCAGGAACCTCAAGCGCTCCCAGTAATTGAGGTGTTTTATCTCCGTTATGTGTGCCGTGAAGCTTCTCTGTACATTTTCTAGGTCAGCAATTTCACCTGCTTTGAAAGGTGCTGTTAGTGTGCAGCAATATTCCAGCCTAGATAGAACAAGTGACCTGAAGAGTGTCATCATGGGCTTGGCATCCCTCATTTTGAAGGTTCTCATTATCCATCCTGTCATTTTTCTAGCAGATGCGATCGATACAATGTTATGGTCCTTGAAGGTGAGATCCTCCGACATGATCACTCCCAGGTCTTTGACGTTGGTGTTTTGCTCTATTTTGTGGCCAGAATTTGTTTTGTACTCTGATGAAGATTTAATTTCCTCGTGTTTACCATATCTGAGTAATTGAAATTTCTCATCGTTGAACTTCATATTGTTTTCTGCAGCCCACTGAAAGATTTGGTTGATGTCCGCCTGGAGCCTTGCAGTGTCTGCAATGGAAGACACTGTCATGCAGATTCGGGTGTCATCTGCAAAGGAAGATACGGTGCTGTGGCTGACATCCTTGTCTATGTCAGATATGAGGATGAGGAACAAGATGGGAGCGAGTACTGTGCCTTGTGGAACAGAGCTTTTCACCGTGCCTGCCTCGAACTTTACTCTGTTGACTACTACTCTCTGTGTTCTGTTAGTAAGGAAATTATAGATCCATCGACCGACTTTTCCTGTTATTCCTTTAGCACGCATTTTGTGCGCTATTACGCCATGGTCACACTTGTCGAAGGCTTTTGCAAGGTCTGTATATATTACATCTGCATTCTCTTTGTCTTCTAGTGCATCTAGGACCTTGTCATAGTGATCCAATAGTTGAGACAGACAGGAGCGACCTGTTCTAAACCCATGTTGCCCTGGGTTGTGTAAATGATGGGTTTCTAGATGGGTGGTGATCTTGCTTCTTAGGACCCTTTCAAAGATTTTTATGATATGGGATGTTAGTGCTATCGGTCTGTAGTTCTTTGCTGTTGCTTTACTGCCCCCTTTGTGGAGTGGGGCTATGTCTGTTGTTTTTAGTAACTGTGGGACGATCCCCGTGTCCATGCTCCCTCTCCATAGGATGTGAGCATGTTGGATAGGAGTGAGTGGAAATAAGTGGTTTTTAAAATTTGACATCTTTTTAGAGTGTGACCAAGGTAACATTTATGAAGAGATTCAGGGAAACTGGTTAGCCAGACTTGAGTCCTGGAGGTGGGGAAATCAAGTACCTTAATTCTGAAGGAGAGGGTGAGATGTTACTGTTTAGAGGGTCATCAAAACTGTGATGTCATTTCCCTTCTGGCAAGACAGTAATTGAGTGAATGAGTCTTTAATTTCTTGAGTCATCCTACTCTGCCTGAGGTATCCCAGCAAGTGAGCACGTCTCCCGTGTTATCCCAGTGCTTAACAGAATAGGGAATAGCATATGGAGGTACAAATAAGAATGAGAACTATGGCTATAGTTTACGTAATATCATAAAAGGGCTAGAGTACAACATATCCTGATGGACATTTACATAATATAACAATTGACCTATTGAGACTTATTACCAGGGGTAAAGGTAGATGTTGTCAGTAACACGGACTAGTACTCACTCTTAATTCACTGACCAGCTGACCCAAGAGTCCCAATGCGTGGTCCACTGCACACGCGGCTGTCCAGAATTCTCGCTCCCTGGACCTGTCACCAACAACCCCCTTGCTCAGCTGTTCCCTGGGCTTATATGATAGTCCAAGCACCCCTCCCCCCCACAATGAAGTGTGCGCACATGTTGTTGATCTGACACCGAGGTCTGACACCATCCAGAACAAAAGACCTCGGTCTTAAGCCGAAAAGGCGTGGTTGACAGAACGTTTGCCAAGGCAAGGTGTGACCATATAATTGGTTAAATTAGGTCTCCACAGAGACCTCACAAGCCCAGCTGAACTACATCACAGTGGGAGATGGCTGGAGTATTAAAAAAAATAATAAAAACAGACTAATGTTTAATGAAAGAATAAGGAAAATAGTGGAGGTGAACTGTGGCCTATGATAGGGTACCTGATTTTATTTAGTCCCTCAAAATTAAGAAATTCGGAAAACCAGCATGATTTAAGGGCCTGTATGCAGTACTACTATTATAGTCTTACAGTTTTAACTCTAACAGTTTAATTACTCTGTATAATATTGAATACCTTGAGTATATTTGGAAGGTTTTCCTGGGAGTCATTGCCCCCATAGCCTTGTCTATGACCAGGCCTTGCAATTTTTTTTAATTTGTTAATTAAAATATGCATTTTTTAATTTAGTAGTTATTAGAAGTTTGAAATGTGTTACCAATACTCAGGAAGGGAAGAAGTCAACAGAGGAAGGTAATAGTACGAATATTGAAGATACAGAAATTGGAGAACCACGTGGAGATGTAGAAATGGCACCTGTGTATCTAAGTCGCTTACTTCCAGTGTTTTGTCACACCTTCCAAGCTACAATGGTACATACTGTAAGGAAAGCTTCACTCAGTATACTTAGAAAAATGGTACACTATATTCCTGCTCCTTTGCTTCATCAGGTAAATATGTAATATATATATGTACGTATGTATATACAGTGGTACTTCGAGTTTTGAACAGCTCCTAACTCGAACAATTATGTAAGTGTATTTTTGTAAGTGCTTTTGTAAGTGTATTTTTGGGGGTCTGAAACAGACTAATCTAATTTACGTTATTCCTTATGGGAACAAATTCGTTCAGTAATGACACTCAAATAGCCTTCTGGAATGAATTAAGTTCGTAAATCGAGGTACCACTGTATATAAATATTGCAGGTTTGCAAGTTAATTTTATTAACTCTGAGCACTGTATAATATTTGAGAATTCACAAGCTTAAAATATGTTAAGATTATTCATAAAAATTTGCTTCTGTCATTGTAAAAACTTTTTTTTAGTACGTTTCTTTTTACTGGATGTCTACTAGTAATTATAGCTTATTGATATTGAAGGTTAATGTCACATGCATTTAAATAAATATACAGTAATTTGTGCCTATTATTTCTCTTCTGCAATGCTTCGGTTTTGGAACCTAACTTTAGCTCGTCCAGTTAATTATTTATTCATCGATTCCAGTTCGTTTATTGCTTCTTGTACAGTTCTTTTCTTTTTCAAATAAATATTTTCATTGTAGTTTTATTCTCATTCATAACTAAAATTGTAAATATTTTCTAGGCTTTTCATCTCTTGGGTATTAATTTAATTTGTGTAGGAACGTTGTATTTATGGAAACTATAACATTACATTTTCTCTTTTTGGTAGGTGTGTGGTGGCGAGGATGCAACTATTAGCACAACCACATATAGCACCAGCACTGCCACAAACACTGCCAATAACCTTTTAGGTTCTCAGCTAGTTGAAGTTATTGCTTTGGTCCTAGGCAATGAGGAGGATGAAGATGGTCATTTAGTTGCTCTGCAGATGGTGGATGATCTTCTAAGCAAAGCTGCACCATTGCTTTTAGAACATTGTGCACGCCTTGGTGTAATCAGTAAAGTGGGAATGCTGGCTGGCCCATCTGACCCACCTATTGAAGAATACACCCCTATAAAAGGGAAAGAGGAACAGGTATGTTTAAATCTCTTTCATTTTCTTAATGTAATAGTAAATCAAACGTTGAGGCTGTGATTGCTATACAGTGATACCATGCTATTTCCTACGTTTACATTCATATGCTGTGACCATTCTGTATAAGGTCCTATGGATTGACCTGTGAATTCATCCCATCACTTGTGAATCTGAATAGGTCTTCTTCCACAGTGAGCCAACCAGTACTCCATTTAAAACAAACAAAAAAGAAAATTTTCTATTTCATATACAGCCTCTCCTCACTTAATGACGGAGTTCCTTTCCTAAGACCATGTCAGTAAATGAATTCGTCGATATTGTTTTAATGTCACCTTTGCACTATTTATAACATATTTAGTATATTTTTAAATGTTTATACTGTAGTGTACTGTATATGTAGAATAGAGGAAATAAGCTCTAATATACATTATTTAGCTTTGCATACTGGTCAGAGAGCCCATCGAAAATAACTAACCAAAAAAGGGACAATACCGTGACTGGAACGATACACAAATAACCCGCACGTGAAAGAGAGAAGCTTACGACGACGTTTCGGTCCGACTTGGACCATTTACAAAGTCATACTTACCAGAAGTGGAGCAGGACGGCTATATATAGGCAGGAAGAGGTGGTGGTAGTAGTACTAGTAGTACAAGAAAGGCATATAATACCGACAAGATGAAATCAAGACACATGCGCAACACCCGGGCACCCCTATCGTAGACGTTTCGCCATCCAGCCAGCCACTGGATGGCGAAACGTCCACAACAAAGACACCCAGACACTGCACATGTGTCTCAATTTCATCAGTAGTAGTAGTAGTAGTAGTAGTAGTAGTAGTAGTAGTAGTAGAAGAGGTAGTAGTAGTGGTAGTGGTAGAAGTGGGGAAAAAGGAGGACGAGCCAGTCAAATACAAAGGAAGGGGAGCACTGCAAGTGAGCTAGGTGCCCACAGAGGGAGAGCAAGCGCACAGAGGTGCGTGAAATAAATGAAGAAGGAACAGAAACATGAGACAGAAGAGAGAAAGACAACCCAGAGGAGAAAAAGGAAAGAGGAAAGGGGAAGAGGGAGAAGAAGAAAAAGAAAAAGAAAAAATGAGGAGTCAGGTTAAGTCACGGGTGTTCTGAAGTTTGGAGCATTTTACAGTGTAGTGGAAGAGGAAGGCATCTACAGAGACGAAGCCAGGCTAAGATTCATACAAGGAAAGTTGTGTACTAGAGAGGATTCAACTAGACGGCGACTGTTCGAGTTGGAAGTAGGGAAGACAGTTTTAGCAGAAGACCAGTCAATAGGATGGCTATGATCTCTGAAGTGACAGAAAAGAGCATTGTTAGTGTCGGCAAGCCTAACACTATTTTTGTGCTCCCTAAGTCTATCAGAAAGAGATCGAGCAGTTTCTCCGAAGTATTGAAGAGGACAGGAGGAGCAAGAAATAGAGTAGACACCAGGAACATCTGTAGAGGGAGGAGAGGTATGAACGAGATTAGTGCGAAGAGTGTTAGTCTGGCGGAAGGTAAGCTTGATGTCTAAGGGACAGAGAGAATTGTTGAGATTAGAAAGACCGGAAATGTAGGGAAGGCAGAGGATAGAAGAGTTCCCAGGAGTAGAGAGTTTGGGAGAGAAGAAATTACGTTTAGCACGTGAGATGGCAGAGTCTATGAAATGGGAAGGGTAGCCAAGATGGGAAAACGAATTATGAAGAGTGGAAATCTCTGCTGGAAGGAACTGAGGATCACAGATGCAGAGGGCACGGAGAAAGAGGGAGATAAGAACACTTTTCTTGACAGGGGAAGCATGATAAGAAAAGTAGTGAATGTACATGCCACTGTGCATAGGTTTTCGGTAAACGGAAAAGGAAAAACCTGTATCTGAGCGGTGGACATGGACATCAAGGAAAGGAAGCAAGGAATTAGATTCCCATTCAGCTTTAAACTTAATGGAAGGGGCAAGATTATTAAGAGCTTCAAGAAAAGGTTGGAAGAGACTGGAGTCATGAGGCCACAGAGCAAAGATGTCATCCATATAGCGGAGCCAGATTGAAGGTTGCACATCGAGGGTAGGAAGAAGAACAGTCTCGCACCTCTGTGCGCTTGCTCTCCCTCTGTGGGCACCTAGCTCCCTTGCAGTGCTCCCCTTACTTTGTATTTGACTGGCTCGTCCTCCTTTTTCCCCACTTCTACCACTACCACTACTACTACCTCTTCTATTACTACTACTACTACTACTACTACTACTACTACTACTATTGATGAAATTGAGACACATGTGCGGCGTCTGGGTGTCTTTGTTGTGGACGTTTCGCCATCCAGTGGCTGGCTGGATGGCGAAACATCTACGATGGGGGTGCCTGGGTGTTGCGCATGTGTCTTGATTTCATCTTGTCGGTATTATATGCCTTTCTTGTACTACTACTACTACTACTACTACCACCACCTCTTCCTGCCTATATATAGCCGTCCTGCTCCACTTCTGGTTAGTGTGACTTTGTAAATGGTCCAAGTCGGACCGAAACGTCGTCGTAAGCTTCTCTCTTTTATGTGCGGGTTATTTGTGTATAGCCCATCGTAAGCCTGAGTCATTGGTAAATCAGTACTTTGCTAAGTGAGGAGAGGTTGTAATGTACAAATGTTAATTCTGTACATGCATTTCACCTGTCAGATGGCATTGCTTATTTACGTATTATACAAGAAAAACAATGTGCATGGGAAGGATGGAGGAAACCTGCTCCATCACCCAAGAAAATGCATGCAATATTGTATTTTGCTGGAAATAATTGCGGAAGGTGCCTACATCCACATATCAAAATGATCTAAATGCATTCTTATAATCTGAGTGCCATAATTTTCTGAATAAAAAATATTAAATTACATGAAAGAACCCTTTAACTGTCAAACCATAGGTCTACGCTTTACTGCTAGTGTCTGAACATTTTGAAAAATAAAAAAAAAGTTAATTTTCTATGTGTGAAAAGACAAAACTTTGTTTTCAGGGTCAATACTTACCAAGATATAAAGTGGCAAAGTTGGCACTAGTTGCTCACATGATGGCAGCGTAAAGTCCTGCCACGTGCAGAAATGTTGCAAATGTATCATTTTTTCCATTTTTTAATTTGCTTAGTTTCTTAGTTTTTTATGGTATGGAGGTGGGAAGTACCTGACCTGCACTTTAAAGGAGTGGTTTGGGATATTTGCTGTGCCTCTGTAGAGAGAGTGATTATGTGTGAATGATGGTGAAAGTGTTTCTTGTTTTGGGTCACCCTGCCTCAGTGGGAGGTGGCCAATTTTACACAAAATTAAAAAAAAAATCCAATTATAAAAATAGCCCCTTCCCTACCAACAAAGAAAAAAAAACTATAGAATTTCAGTCACTAAAACATTTCCGCTATTTGTTAATCACATCCCAGGCCTCTCCTATATTACACTTGCCTTCTATTTTGAATTCATCATACAAAAAATTGGATTTTTTCAAGTTGGCTATCTCCCACCAAGGCAGGGTGACCCAAAAAGAAAGAAAATCCCCAAAAAGAAAATACCTTCATCATCATTCAACACTTTCACCTCACTCACACATAATCACTGTTTTTGCAGAGGTGCCCAGAATACAACAGTTTAGAAGTATTTTTTTTTTCTCAAGTCGGCCGTCTCCCACCGAGGCAGGGTGACCCAGAAAACAAAGAAAATCCCCAAAAAGAAAATGCTTTCATCATCATTCAACACTTTCACCACACTCACACATTATCACTGTTTTTGCAGTGGTGCTCAGAATACAACAGTTTAGAAGCATATACATATAAAGATACACAACATATCCTCCAAACTGCCAATATCCCAAACCCTTCCTTTAAAGTGCAGGCATTGTACTTCCCATTTCCAGGACTCAAGTCCGACTATATGAAAATAACCGGTTTCCCTGAATCCCTCCACTAAATATTACCCTTCTCTCACTCTGACAGATCGTCAGGTCCCTCTGAATAATACTTTTATTAACTCCACACCTTCTCCTAATTTCCACACTCCGAATTTTCTGCATAATATTTACACCACACATTGCCCTTAGACAGGACATATCCACTGCCTCCAACCGCCTCCTTGCTGCAACATTTACAACCCAAACTTCACACCCATATAAGATTGTTGGTACTACTATAATTTCATACATTCCCTTCTTTGCTTCCATAGATAACATTTTTTACTTCCACATATACCTCAATGCACCACTCACCTTTTTTCCCCTCATCAAATCTATGATTAACCTCACCCTTCATAAATCCATCCGCCGACACATCAACTCCCAAGTATCTGAAAACATTCACTTCTTCCATACTCCTCCTCCCCAATTTGATATCCAATTTTTTTTTTATCTAAATCATGATACCCTCATCACCTTATTTTTTTCTATGTTCACTTTCAACTTTCTACCTTTACACACATTCCCAAACTCATCAACTAACCTTGGCAATTTTTCTTTAGAATCTCCCATAAGCACAGTATCATCAGCAAAAAGTAACTGTGTCACTTCCCATTTTGTATTTAATTCCCCATAATTTAATCCCACCCCTCTCCCGAACACCCTAGCATTTACTTCTTTTACAACCCCATTGATAAATATATTAAACAACCATGGTGACATTACACATCCCTGTCTAAGACCTACTTTTACCAGGAAATAGTCTCCCTCTCTTCTACACACCCTAACCTGAGCCTCACTATCCTCATAAAAGCTCTTTACAGCATTTACTAACTTACCACCTATTCCATATACTTGCAACATCTGCCACATTGCTCCCCTATCCACTCTATCATATGCCTTTTCTAAATCCATAAATGCAATAAAAACTTCCCTACCTTTATCTAAATACTGCTCACATATATGCTTCAATGTAAACACGTGATCTACACATCCCCTACCCATTCTAAAACCTTGTTCATCTGCAATTCTACATTCTGTCTTACCTCTAATTCTTTCAGTAATAACCCTACCGTACACTTTTCCTTATATACTTAGTAAACTTATTCCTCTATAATTTTTACAATCTCTTTTGTCCCCCTTCCCTTTATATAAAGGGACTATACATGCTCTCTGCCAATCCCTAGGTACCTTCCCCTCTTTCATTCATTTATTAAACAAAAATACCAATCATTCCACCTATTCCATATACTTGCAACATCTGCCACATTGCTCCCCTATCCACTCTATCATATGCCTTTTCTAAATCCATAAATGCAATAAAAACTTCCCTACCTTTATCTAAATACTGCTCACATATATGCTTCAATGTAAACACGTGATCTACACATCCCCTACCCATTCTAAAACCTTGTTCATCTGCAATTCTACATTCTGTCTTACCTCTAATTCTTTCAGTAATAACCCTACCGTACACTTTTCCTTATATACTTAGTAAACTTATTCCTCTATAATTTTTACAATCTCTTTTGTCCCCCTTCCCTTTATATAAAGGGACTATACATGCTCTCTGCCAATCCCTAGGTACCTTCCCCTCTTTCATTCATTTATTAAACAAAAATACCAATCATTCCAACACTATGTCTACCCTGGTTTTAACATTTTTGTCATGATCCCGTCAGTTCCAGCTGCTTTACCCCCTTTCATTCTACGTATGCCTCACGCACCTCCACCACACTCACGTCCTGCTCTTCTTCACTCCTAGAAGATGGTATACCTCCCTGGCCAGTGCATGAAATTACTGCCTCCCTTTCTTCATTGACATTTACAAGTTCCTCAAAATGTTCTCGCCATCTACCTAAAACCTCCGTCTCCCCATCTACTAACTCCCCCACTCTGTTTTTAACTGACAAATCCATTTGTTCCCTAGGCTTTTTTAACTTGTTTAACTCACTCCAAAATTTTTCCTTATTTTCATTAAAATTTCTTGACAGTACCTCTCCCACTCTATCATTCGCTCTCTTTTTGCACTCTCTCACCACTCTCTTCACCTTTCTTTTACTCTCCATATACTCTGCTCTTCTTATAACACTTCTACTTTGTAAATACCTCTCATAAGCTACCTTTTTCTCTTTTATCACACCCTTTACTTCTTTATTCCACCAATCACTCCTCTTTCCTCTTGCACCCACCCTCCTATAACCACAAACTTCTGCCCCACATTCTAATACTGCATTTTTAAAACTATTCCAACCCTCTTCAAACCCCAACACTACTCATACCTGCACCAGCCCACCTTTCTGCCAATATTTGCCTATATTTCACCCGAACTTCCTCCTTCCTTAGTTTATACACTTTCATTCATGTTTATGATTTTTGCAGGATGGTGATGAGCCTGGCATGGAAGATGCTAAAGAAGTTGTACCTGGCAAGGCATACCACTGGCGGGACTGGTGTGTAGCACGGGGACGAGATTGTCTTTACATTTGGAGTGATGCTGCTGCTTTGGAACTCTCTAATGGTTCCAATGGTTGGTTCCGCTTCATTCTAGATGGAAAGTTGGCAACCATGTACTCTTCGGGAAGTCCTGAGGGAGGATCAGAAAGTACAGGTACTAGGATAAAATAATTTTGTGAATGATATATGTAGTTTAAAAGAAAAAGGTCTTCGATTATGGGGTGGTTTTCAGGTTTCGTATTATAAATTGCATACGTATAATACCAACACGTTAATGAGTAAGACCCATGTGTGATACAGTGGACCCCCGCATTTCGATTACCTCCGAATGCGACCAATTATGTAAGTGTATTTATGTAAGTGCGTTTGTACGTGTATGTTTGGGGGTCTGAAATGGACCAATCTACTTCACAATATTCCTTATGGGAATAAATTCGGTCAGTACTGGCACCTGAACATACTTATGGAGTGAAAAAATATCGTTAACCGGGGATCCACTGTACTTGGGTATCTTTATTGTTGAAACCTTTTGCCTTCACAACAGGCTTTATCAGATGAATACAGGCAAATGTAATGCTGGAGACAATAGAAATGGAGAGGTGCTTTTGAGGTGATCAATCTCTTGATAGCATGTGGTCAGTTCCTTAGCATAAAGCAAAGGCATGAGGCCAGAGGCTTGTATGCTAGAGCTAGAAGTGAGATGTAGTGGGGCCCACTAGGGGAAATAAGTCATGCTAAACATAAGGGACTGATCACCTTAAAATTCTCTCTTCACTTCTTCCAATGTATTTTTTTTTTTTTTCAACATGTCGGCCGTCTCCCACCGAGGCAGGGTGACCCAAAAAGAAAGAAAATCCCCAAAAAAGAAAATACTTTCATCATCATTCAACACTTTCACCTCACTCACACATAATCACATAATCGAGGTGCTCAGAACACAACAGTTTAGAAGCATATACGTATAAAGATACACAGCATATCCCTCCAAATGTATGTATTATTATAATTGCCTGTATTCAGCTGAAAGAGCATACTATGCAGGTGAAATATTTCAGTAGTATAGATTTCAGAGTCCTAGGTAGTAGGTTGGCAGACAGCAATCGCCCAGAGCGGTACTACCATCTTACCAAGTGAGTGTAAAGCCTGTAATTGTTTTACATGATGGTAGGATTGCTGGTGTCTTTTTTCTGTCTCATAAACATACAAGATTTCAGGTACATCTTGCTACTTCTACTTACACTTGGGTCACACTACACATGCTTGTACAAGCGTATATATACATACCCCTCTGGGTTTTCTTTTATTTTCTTACTAGTTCTTGTTCATTTTCTCTTATCTCCATGGGAAAGTGGAACAATTCTTTGTCCATAAGCCATGTATGTCGTAAGAGGCAACTAAAATGTCGGGAGTGTTATGTTGTTGTCCCTTATTACTTTGATAGTAAGGTTCTCACTACATGCTCTAGTGTGGGGGGTAGCTTTTACATAAAGGCCTTATATGTCTAGGGTAATACTTACATCCATGATTGATCATCCTCACCCTCTAAAATCCTTTCACCAGCCCTCTTCACAGGTTATTTAAACTACCTCTATAAAAAAATATAACTGTATTCTAAATAGATATGTACAGAATATACAATTACAGCACTCGCATATTCAAAAGATAAGCCTGCACACCCCTTAGCTCTTCAAAGACAGCCCACATGATGGATCTGGATAAATTGCCCTTCTTTCTTCTGGACTATCTCTGGACTAACCAGTGTTTTGACACACTTTAGTCACCCTGGTTATGGTGGCCACAACTTAAGTCATAAAACTCATCCCTGGGGCACACATAATGCCCCAAAAAATAGAAAGAAGGACCCCAGAGGTCCTACCAGCTTGAAGTCCACAAAAGGAGAGAGAGAGAGAGAGAGGGAGGGAAGGAGGGAGAGGGAGAGAGAGAGAGAGAGAGAGAGGGGAGGGAGGGAGGGAGGAGGGGAGGAGAGAGAGAGAGAGAGAGGGGGAGAAGAGAGAGGGGGGGAGAGAGAGAGGAGGGGGGGAGAGAGAGAGGGAGGGGAGAGAGAGAGGGGGGAGAGAGAGAGGAAGGGGAGAGAGAGAGGAGGGAGGGGGGAGAGAGAGAGAGAGAGAGGGAGAGAGAGAGGGAGAGAGAGGGGGGAGAGAGAGAGAGGGGGGGAGAGAGAGAGGGGGAGGGAGGGAGGCTGGGCTGGGCTCCCACACCCACCAAAAAACAAGACTGTTGCCAAGCACAATTCTCTAGTTACCACAATTCTACCACACCTTAATTTTACTTTTAAAAAAGAAATACAACTACATAAACTACTTATTTAAATTGTGTGTGTGTCTATAGTATAACCTATTATATTGAGAAAAAACAGGCTTGACTCAGCTGCCTTACAGCCATAAGAGTGATCTGCCCTTATGACATTTAGAGCTGAATCCCCATCAATTCAATATAATTAGGTATTCCAGAGTAACTGTTACAGATACATAAATACATGTTGGGTCCTATTGCCCCATAACACCCCACCTCCAGACGAAGTCTCACAAAAGCTAGCCGTGCCCCTCAGGATACGGCTAGTAAAAAAAAAATATTGCTTTAGCCTGCAGGTGGTTAGCAAGACTACTAGAAATGTTACATATTTCTGAGCACCATAACTACTCTTCACTTTACTGTTATTTACAACAAAGTGACATACTACATGGCAGTCTGCAAATGTTTGTGGCTCCACTGAACCTTCCCAGATTACACATGCACTTCCACTCATACCATATAAAACCCTGAAAGGAACAATACTGGAACAGATTGCAGAGTTTTTTTTAGAAAAGCATTTTAACCATACCCACATACTCAAGGGTGTAACTATTTACAATTTTAGTGGCTTTTAAAACATAATACACATACAATGCAAGAATTGCACACAATGCCCACTGTGAAAGCCTGCACCGACAGGCCCGTGCCTCTGCTGCGGTAATCCAATAAGCAACTGGTATTCCAGGATGGCATCTTCCTGATCAGGAGACAAGAGTAGAACCAAACCCAGAGCAGTCAGGTGTCTTTTTTCTGTCTCATAAACATGCAAGATTTCAGGTACATCTTGCTACTTCTACTTACACTTCGGTCACACTACACATGCTTGTACAAGCGTATATATACATACCCCTCTGGGTTTTCTTTTATTTTCTTACTAGTTCTTGTTCATTTTCTCTTATCTCCATGGGAAAGTGGAACAGAATTCTTCCTCCATAAGCCACGTGTGTCGTAAGAGGCAACTAAAATGCCGGGAGCAAGGGGCTAGTAACCCCTTCTCCTGTATACATTATTAAAATTAAAAATGGAAACTTTTGTTTTTCTTTTTGGGCCACCCTGCCTCTGTGGGATATGGCCGGTTTGTTGAAAGAAGAGAAGATACCAGAGTGTTGCATACATGTCTAACTCGTTAACTTATTGGTATCGTATACCATTTATGTGATATTTGTTTGACCTAGCAATATTTTGGCACCTTGGTCCAGGGATGAGCATGACCTACTTCTGCTAGTGGGCCCTGCTCACCTGTGAAGTTTTCTTCACCTGCTACAGCTCACTTCTTGATCTATACACTGCTTTGGTTGTCTCCAGTGTTACAATCTCCTATATTTTTGACAGTAATGATACCTAAGAGTCATGCATGTTTGGCATTCAGGTTTTTCTAACTTTGCATGTTACTGACCAGTTTCGCTTACATTTTCCTATTTTGTGAATTTCAATAAGCACTTGAACAGTATCATAGATATTAGCCTGAAAACTTCAGTGTATAAATATTTCATACTGTAAAAGTAAGGTATCTAACAAATAAGGGTGTATTCCAAAAGTCTGAAAATTACCTTTTCTGCCTCACCAAAAGAAGTTTTTTACGAAATAGTTTGTTTACATTGAAGAACCTTTATGTATGTTATTAGCAGAAGTCATAAGGAAGCATGTTATGTATCTTTTAGATAACTATCAAATTTTCCTTAGCTGTTTTGCTTCTCTCTCCATTGCATCTTTCTTATATATACCCAGTACTGTACTCATGCTTAAATGAATAGAATAATTTTTCTAGTTAATTTTATAACAAAATTGTACATTTTGTTTTTTACTTATACAGGAGTACGGTGCAATATTGCATTAAAAAGCATGACTTTGTTTTTTGTTAGATGCTGTTTTTAATGTTTTTGAAAACATGATGTACTTTTAACGTAACATTTCTTTCCTAAGCAGAGAACCGCAGTGAATTCTTAGAAAAGCTGCAGCGAGCCAAGTCAGCAGTCCGGCCAGGCAGCCCTAGTCAGCCGGTATTATCTACTCCAGGGCCTGCACGCTTAGTCATTGGAAATTGGTCACTTCAGTGCAAAAAAGTTTGTACACTATTATTAAAAACAGTTGATTTATGCTTTTATTTTATAAACACTAATTGTCTCACTAAGGTAGAGTAACTAGAAAATCGAAAACACATTCATCATATTTCATTAATTAGCTGTTTGGCCGGAATTGTCAAAATAATAAATTCAAAATGCCCCTTCAAAATTGCAACATCCCCACCCTTTCCAGATACAGCACTGGTACATCTACCTATCTCCAATAACCAAGACTGACTAACCAATTCCTCCGAATCCTTTCAAAAATGTATCTGTCCAACTCTGTCACAGCACATCAGTTCATAAATCACTCTTCTCCTCTCACTTCATCTGACACCCTCAATAAAGTTGGCTGGATGCCAAGCCACTAGCACTCAAAAATTTGTTAACCTCTCTTCTCAACCCTTCAAGGATGATCTCACATGGCTCGCTTTCCTGTTAAAAGGGAGTGTTAATATGAAACATGACATTGGGGAATCCCTTGTGCTTTGCCACGCTATTTGCTCTAGCTGGCGCTCATTGAACTGTGCTCCCACAAGTACTAAGTGGCCCCAGATTTGTTTAAAACTGCGCTCACCGAGTGTTAAGACCTATTCTATGCTGACCAGGCATCTCAGGCCAATCATGCCAAACTTGGAGGTAGGAAAAATAAAACGTAGATCTATGTTTGGAGCGTTAGCAGTAAGAACGTAGATCTACGTTTTGACAGTTAAGGGGTTAAGCCATCTGTGATATTTTTTTCAAAATTATATAATAAAAAAACATGCTGCATAACATATAAACATGATAAATACACCCCACAGTAGAATATTAACATAAATATGAGACTTCCAGCAAGTGTGCACAAGAGGGTTAGATAGGAGTGAAAGGAGATGAATGTTTTTTGGACTGACGACTGTTAGAGTGTGGAGCAGGATGAATCTTTTGAAGGATCCAGGGAAACCGTAGCCAGACTTGAATTCCCTAGAAATGGGAAGTACAATGCCTGCACTTTAAAGGAGGGCAGTTTGGAGGGACATCTGAACTCTAATATCTGATCGTCTCTGCAAAGACAGTGATTATGTATGAGTGATGGTGAAAGTGTTGAATAAAGATGAAAGTTTTTTTCATTCTTTTTGGATCACCCTGCCTAGGTGGGAAACAGCCGACGTGTTAATAAAAAGGAGGGGGGGGGGATGTTTTTCCAATCGTCTTGTTGGAGTGTCAGAAAGAATAATGTTTTCTCTAGTTCAACACTAAAGAAAATGCATACACAGTAGTATTACTGGGGATAACTAGAAAATTATTTCTTTTGTAAGCCTTTGCTCAGAGCATTATTCCTTCTAAAAATGGTGTGTTACATGAGGATGGGAGTGTTGCTCTTTATTCATTCTACTGTACCAATGTGGAAACAACTTGTACACATTGTAAAGTGTTTGTATTATGGTATAAGCTTCACAGACATGGAAATGAACGTATATCAACCACAAGCAGATGCGTTCATCTGTTTGTTCACATACTCTGCATCTCTGTCGTCTCTCATTTACTTGTTCTCTTTTTCTTGTTTATTAGTTTTATCTCGTTTACTCACTTCTCACCCTACATTAAGACTACAAATATGCCTAGTTATATTGCTAACTTAACCCTTTGAAAGAGTCCACCCCGTAGTTCTACAGCTTTGAAGTCAGGGTCCAAGCTGTAGTAGTACTATGTTATGAGCTCAGCTCACTCAGATAAGCTGTGAGCAGTAAATTTGGGCCTAGATATGAGAAAATGCATCTATGTGATAAGTGTGCACCATATAAAACAAATCCTGCAGCACACAGTGTATGAGAAAAAACTGCAACTGTGTTTTTGGATTAAAACAGCGACTTCGTGGTGAATTTTGTATGGTTTATACAGTTGTGTCTGCAGTTTCTTGGTCTTGTTGGATAGAATGGAAGATGTATTACAGAAATAGAGGTGATTTTGATTGGTTTTCGTAATGAAAATGTTTGATATTTACCAATGTTCAAGAGTGAACAAATCACATCACGCATCCAGTACACATCAGCTTGTGGGTTTAATGTGTGTTCGTGAATGCGCTGATATTATTTATACAATTATTACAATATTGCATAAGAGTAAATCTTCTATTTTTTGGTATGAATAAAAATTCTTTACGTGAATAAAAAATCAAAATGTAATTCAGCTGTAAAGCCTGGAAATGTAACTAATAAATAGAGGAAATGTTATTTTGGTGCCAGTATTGCCTGCATTGTTTATTCTGGACCCTGTTTTGAAATTGGAATATCTTGAGCTTTGTGTGAAATTGGCCAAATTACCAATTTCTGATCATTTTATTGGGTAGTTGATATAGTTGATTGGGGGATTTCTTGTTTTCGGTAGATAAATTGGAACACACACTAGCGAAATAGCTAACAATTTAGTCAGTTTTTCATCATATTTCGTACTTTTTGTTTTATTTCCTTCAGAGAAAGATTCTCTACCATTTCATAAGAAAAAACAGTTTTTTTTTTTTTTAATTCATGGACCTTGTGTAGAGTTTTCATATTGGGAGTTTGGACCCTCAACGGTTAATATAAGTTAGTGTAAACTTGTTGTCTGGCATTTATATGCATTTATAAGTGGAAAATGTGGCATTCCGCTTTTCGTCAATTTCTGCTTTAAGGCGGTAGCCTGGAACCTAACCTGCCATATAAATGGAGCCCTACTGTACATGAATTATACAGTATTTGTTTATTTACTTATTTTTATTTATTATTTATCTGTTTATTTTATTTATTTCAATCTATTTGTCTACAGGAGGGTGAATTGCACATTCACAACTCTGATGGGCAACAACAAGCTACCATCCTTCGTGAGGAACTCCCAGGATTCATCTTTGAGAGTAACCGCAACACAAAACATTCCTTCACTGCTGAAACATCTTTAGGGCCTGAATTCCATGCGGGGTGGACTGGTCGACGTGGAAAACGGTTCAGATCTAAGGTTGAGGCAATGAAGCAAAAGGTAGTGTTTCCATTTCTGTTATTTACCTGTTGTCTACCTCTTGAAGGTTCTGGGGATCATTGCCTTTCCTCCTGATTGATGACTTCATCAGTCAAGATATTGGGACTTACGGTATACTGTGCAACATAGGCCCTACAGCTGGGTTGATCAGGATTGGTTTTCCAGCACTTTGTCTAGTTCCCTTTTGAAGACAGCTAGGGATCTGATAATTGTTTTTAAATTTGAAGGGAAGATATTGAAAAGCCTAGGACCTTTTAAACTTATGAAGTTGTGAATTAGTTGGATTATTTTACACAGTCTATTGTGCTTTCAAGTGTTGTAATAATTTACCTCAATGTCTTGTCTTGGATCCATTACCTCAAGTACACTGAACCCACAATATAACAAACTTTTAAAATTATGGACAAAATCCATTGGTTAGATTGTACTTTTTAACTCTTTTTATTTTTCAATGTTTAATGGAGTTGAAGGTGGCAACAGCAAGTAAGAGGGAGGTGAAAGTGTATAAACTAAGGGAGGAGGAAGTTTGGGTGAGATATAAGCGACTATTCGCCGAAAGGTGGGCTACTGCAAAGATGAGTAGTGGGAGGGTTGAAGAGGGTTGGAATAGTTTTAAAAATGCAGTATATGAATCTGGGGCAGAAGTTTGTGGTTATAGGAGGGTGGGGGCAGGAGGAAAGAGGAGTGATTGGTGGAATGATGAAGTAAAGGGTGTGATAAAAGAGAAAAAGGTAGCTTATGGAGGTTTTACAAAGCGAAGTGTTATAAGAAGAGCAGAGTATATGGAGATTTAAAAAAAAGGTAAAGAGAGTGTTGAGAGAGTGCAAAAGGAGAGCAGATGATAGAGTGGGAGAGGCAAATGTCAAGAAATTTTAATGAAAATATGAAAAAATTTTGGAGTGAGTTAAGCAAGTTAAGAAAGCCTAGGGAAAGTATGGATTTGTCAGTAAAAAACAGAGTAGGGGGGTTAGTAGATGGGGAGATGGAGGTATTAGGTAGATGGCGAGAATATTTTGAGGAACTTTTAAATGTTAAGGAAGAAAGAGAGGCAGTAATTTCATGCACTGGTCAGGGAGGTATACCATCTTTTAGGAGTGAAGAAGAGCAGAATGTAAGTGTGGGGGAGGTACGTGAGGCATTACGTAGAATGAAAGGGGGTAAAGCAGCTGGAACTGATGGGATCATGACATAAATGTTAAAAGCAAGGGGGGATATAGTGTTGGAGTGGTTGGTACTTTTGTTTAATAAATGTATGAAAGAGGTAGGTAGTAGGTTGGTAGACAGCAACCACCCAGGGAAGTACTACCGTCCTGCCAGATGACTGTGAAACAAAAACCTGTAACTGTTTTGCATGATGGTAGGATTGCTGGTTTCTTTTTCTGTCTCATAAACACGCTAGATAACAGGGATATTTTGCTACTCCTACTTACACTTTGGTCACACTTCACAGACACGCACATGCATATATATATATACATACATCTAGGTTTTTCTCCCTTTTTCTAAATAGCTCTTGTCCTTTTTATTTCTTCTATTGTCCATGGGGAAGTGGAAAAGAATCTTTCCTCCGTAAGCCATGCGTGTCGTATGAGGCGACTAAAATGCCGGGAGCAATGGGCTAGTAACCCCTTCTCCTGTATACATTTACTAAAAAAAGAGAAGAAGAAAAACTTTATAAAACTGGGTTGCTTAAATGTGCGTGGATGTAGTGCGGATGACAAGAAACAGATGATTGCTGATGTTATGAATGAAAAGAAGTTGGATGTCCTGGCTCTAAGCGAAACAAAGCTGAAGGGGGTAGGAGAGTTTCAGTGGGGGGAAATAATGGGATTTAAAATTGGGGGATCTGAGAGAGTTAAAAAAAGGGAAAGGGGTACCTAATGTTAATGATCTTTAGGGAAGGGAGAAAAGGGGAATATGAATGTGAAAATTTCAAAAAATTATTGGATTAATTTAAAGGTTGGATGCAGAAGGGGGTTTCATAAAAAGCGTGTAGGGCACCGGGAAAGAAGGGGGAGGAATGAAAGAGGGGGAGGAGGTTTTTGGGGAGAGGGTTAAGTGAAGGTATGGGGCCCTTTTAAAACCAAGTGAAGAGTTTTTGTGGTAGGGGACCTGAATGCAAATTAGGAGAAATTTTTTAAGGAGGGTGTGGTGGGTTTAATTTTTGGGGGGTTTCCAGGTTTTAAATGATAAGGGGGACCCTTTGATTGAACTTTGTGTAAAAAGGGGGTTTTGTTATGGGTAATACAATTTTAAAAAAAAGGATAAAAAAGATTAAAGGATATGATGTAGGGCGAAATGCAGTATTTTTTGGGAAATTATGTTTTGGTAGTTTAAAAATGCGATAATTTCCCGGTTTGTACATTTTTATAGGGGGGAAACAGATAATCAGACCCCTTTTTCTATTTGGGGTAGTTTACACTGAGATAAAAGGTAGATGGGATAAAAGGAAATGGGAAAAGATCAGGGAAAAAGAGAGGTGAAGTTTATAAATTTAAAAAGAAAGGGGGCGTTAGGGAAAGATTTTAAACAGCTTTTTGGGAGGATGAGGGCAAATGAGAGCATAGGCTTTTGGGGGTCAAAAGAGGTATGGGGTAGGTTTAAAAAATGAGTGTTAGAGTGTTAGCAGAAGTTTGTGGTTACGGGGAAAGTGGGGGGCAGGAGGAAAAGGGAGCGATTGGGGGGAAAAAGTGTAAAAAGGTATGGGGAAAAAAAGTTAGCATTGGAAGTTTTTTAAAAAGTAGAATGATCCCAAGGGGGGAAATTATAGGGGAAAAAAGAGAGGGGTTTTAAGGGAGGGGTAAAGCAATGTAAAAAAAAGAGAAAATGAGGAGTGGTAAAGATGTTATAAACCAAATTTTTTTGAAAATAAGAAAAATTTTTGGAGTGAGTTTAAACAAGTTAAGAAACCCTTTAGAAAACAAATGGATTTGTCATTTAAAAAATTGGGAAAGAGGAGATTATTAAATGGGAGTTAAGGTATTGGGAAGAGGGAGGGAATTTTGTTGAAGAATTTTTTTAAAGGGATGAAGATGGGGAAAGCTGTGATTTCGGTTGGGGCAAGGGGAAAAACCCAATTTTGTAGGATTGAGGAAGAGCCATTGGGGTGGGGGGGAAAAGTTCGTGAGGCAGTAGGCAAAATGAAAAGGGGTAAGGCACCCCGGGTTTTGATGGGGAAAAAGGGTAGAAATTTTAAAAACAGGTGGGGATATATTTTTGGAAAGGGGTTGGTGCCAATTATTTAAAAAAAGTATGGAAGGGGGTTTAATTTTCCCCTGGGGTTTGGGCAGGAGAAAGCATATTTTCCTTTGTAAAAAGGGAAAAGGGGGATAAAAAGAGTGCAAAAATTATAGGGGGATAAGTCGTTGGGGTGTACCTGGTAAAGTTTTAGGGTAGAGTTATAATTGAAAAAATTTAAGAGTAAAAAGGAGAATGGGAAATAGCAGTTTAACAAGGGGCTTTGGGAAAGGTAGGGGGTTGGGGAAACCGGGTTTTTTTAACAGTGAAACATAAAATTTAAAACCGATTTAAAAAGGGGCTAAAGAGGTTTTTTGTGGATTTATGGTTTTGGGAAAAAGGGCCTTTATGACAGGGGGGTTGGGGGGCCCATGTGGCAAAAAGTTTGAAAGTGAAATGGTGTAGGAGGTGGTTACTAAAAGCGGGGAAAGATTTTTACGAGGTATTTAAAAGGGCTCAATTTGGGAGTATGTGGGAAAGGGGGAAAATTTTTTCCCAGAAAAAGTAGGCCTTAGAAAAGGATGTGTGAGGTCACCGGGGTTGTTTAATAATTTATAGATGGGGGTTGTAAGGGGAATTTAAATGCGGGGGGTTTTGGCAAGGGGCGTGGATTTAAAAAGATAAAGAATAAACACACAAAGTGGGAGTTGTCCAGTTTGCTCTTTGCGATAAACACGGGTGCTTTGGGAGATTCTAAGAGAAGTTGCAGAGATTGGTGGATAATTTTGGGTTTAGGGTTGCAAAAAAAAATTAAAAGGTTTGAAAAACAGGAAAGGGGAAAGGTTAGGGATAAAAAAAAAAGATTGGGGTAAAGAAAGATTGAATTCAGATTGGGGGGAAAGAGAGTATGGAGGAGGGAAGGGATTAGATTTTTTGGGAGGGGACGTGTCAGCGGATGGGTCTATGAAAGATAAATTTGAATCAAAGAATTGGGGGGAAAAAAAGGTGAGTGGCCCCTTTAGGAGTCTGTGGAGAAAAAGAATTTTTGCCCCTTGGGGCAAAGGGGGGAATGAAATGAGGTATTTTTTTTAACCAAAACGCTCTTATTTTGGGGGGAAAAGCGGGGGTGAGGGAATGTTGCACCCGAGGAGAAGGCGGGAGGCAGTGGAGTTTCCCATGTCTAGGGAAATTTGTGTGGTGTGAATAAAAATGCAGAGAATTCGTATTTTGGGAAGGGTTAGGAGGAGGGGGCCGGGATTTTCCAAACTGTTGCCCAAAGGGGGCTGGGGAAGGGGGGGTTGTTGAGGGTTGGGGACATGTAGAGGGGAATGGGCGAAACAGAATGATTTTCAAGTTTGTTTTCATTCTGTAGTGGAAGGAAGGGGGGGGGGTTTTTTGGGGTCGGCCCTAGGAAAGGTTGGAGGGGGGGGGAAAAAAGGGGAGGTTTTGTTTCGAGGGGTTTGGGAAATTTTCCAGGGGGCATCCCATGAGCGTTTTTTGAAAGGAGGAATGGAGACAAAGGGTTTTTTAAATATTTGACGTGCTTTTGGGAGTGTAAAGAAAAGTAACATTTATGAAGGGTTTCAGGGAAAACCCGGCAGGGGACTTGGTCCTGGGAGGGGAAAAGTACATGCCTGCACTCTGAAGGAGGGGTTTTAAAATGTTCCCATTTTAAAAAAATGTAATGAAAAAACCCCCTTCTGGCAAGACGTGTTGGAGGGAAGGGTGAAATTTTTTCTTTTTGGGCCCCCGGGGCCTTGGGGGGAATGGCCAGTGTGTTAATAAAAAAAAAAAATGAAAGGGGGGAAGGTACCTAGGGATTT